TAATAACATAAAATAATAAAAATATTTAAATATATATATATATATATATTTCTAATCGTCTTATGTCCGATTTATATCTTGTCTTAGCACCTTTCTTATAATCCTGGATTTACAACAAAAAAAAGTAACGAAAGTAACGAAATAAAATATCGTTACTTTCAAGTAACGGTAACGCGTTATTTTTTAAGATCAGTAACGAGTAACGGTAACGAGTTACTTTTTACCGAAAGTAATGGTAACGGTAACGAGTTACTTTTAAAAAGTAACTTTCCCAACCCTGGTATATACGTATGTACATACGTATATACCAATATAGGTACATATGTACGTAGTACATATGTATCTATATACGTCTATACGTACATATGTATGTAAGTATGTATGTATGTATGTATGTACGTAAGTATATTAACGTTTGTATGTACGTATGTATGTACGTACGTGTGTACGTATATACAGTCTGTAAAGTAAGAGCGTGTACGGGTTAATGTGTAGAAAAATTTATTTTTAATGATTTTTAAGTACATGGATTTGTTGTACTCCATGAGAAGAAAAATGCTATACCATTAATAATGAGTCCAGCCACCACCGGCATTGATAATTGCCTGGCATCTCCGAGGCTTTCTACTAAGTTGACTGCGTATTCGTTCGGTAAAGACCTCCAAATGAGACGAATTTGTAGTGTCAGCTGCTTCAAAGTGCACACTCTTTTTCCTCGAAGTTTATGCTTAAGATATGCCCACACATTTTTCAATGGGATTTACATCTGGCGACTGCGATGGCCAATCAAGTGTGACAATGCCAGACTGCTCTTTCCACTCGGTGCAAAGCTTGCTCCGGTGTTTTGGGTCGTTGTCTTCCTGTAAGATCCAGTCCTCGTTTTTTTTTTATGAAGCATCGTTCAGCAGTCGGCAACAAACACTTCTCATAAATTTTAAGCATTTTCGGAGCATTTAAATGTAAACAGATGTAATGCCCCAAAACCCTGTTTCGAAAAGCAGCCTCAAAGATGAACTTTTACAGGGTGTTTAACAGTCCGTTGTATTAATCTGTTGGTCAAGGTTGACCAGGAACGTCGGATGGCAGCATATCCCCAAACACAAGCTTCGTCCGTAAAGATCACGTTGCTCCAATCTCGGTCCAAATTCTCCTTTGCCCAAGCGAATCTTTTCGTCACATGTTTTTCGCCTAACAGTGGTTTCTTCATTGTGCTTCGATATTTGAAGTTATGCGCAAGGAAATGGGTTCGAATAGTTGTATGTGATACTTCTATACTCTTCTGTTTTAATTTTGCTGCTCCTTGTCGCAATGTTAAGGTCGGGTTCCACTTAAACAAATTCACAACTTTTTTTTCCATATTCGGCGTCACTTTGCCTATCGAGCCATGTTCTAGCAAGTCATCGACATTTTTGATCTTCTTATATTGCTGAGCCCACTTAGCGACGAACAATTTTGACTTTCCCATGTATTTAGCCACTGCATATGACATTTTTGGTCCTTTGAGGTGGGAACAAAGGAACAGCCTCGTAGCGCGATGCGTATGCGGCACTCATGGCGGTTAACGTGTTTCTCAGGTTTGACGCCAACTGAATCTTTTGTGACAAAGCATTCACGACAAAGATTTCATCTATCGGGTTACAAAAAAACTAGGACGATGTTTGAAGCCAACTGCCATTACACGCTCTTACTTTACAGACTGTATGTACGTATGTACGTAAATATATATATTTATTTTATATCCTCCCTTTCTCTCTCTCTTTCTCTCTCTCTCTCGCTCTCACTTCTCTCTCTCTCACTTTCTCTCTCACTCCTCTCTCTCACTCTTTCTCTCTCGCACATTTTGTCCTATATTGTATTCTGTAGCATATCCCTCGCTTACACGCTCGCATTCGCTGCTGTCTGCTTGTTCAGCACTCTCGTAGCGCCCCTGGTGTCGGAAAAGCGAGATGCACATATCCCCACTCTATGCGTCCGAAGTTTCTTACTTTCTTACTGAATCGGAATTTTCCGTGATTCGAACTTTTACTTAAAATACCTCCACTTAGAGACAACGTACACAAAAATCACAAGAACATTTTGCTTCCTATATCTTAAGACCGAATCGATTGGGACTAAAAAAACCTCGATCGGTTCAGCCATTGCTGAGATATGAATATCTCACCTCGCAGTTTCGACACGATAATAGGCACGGTGTGCCTCGTGCCGTTCGGGCGCGACTTTGTTGCGCTTGAACTTGGCGCGAGACACTTCCGTGCCTCTTGAAATTGAACAACCAACGAAACACACGTCGAATGTTCCCGTTGGCTCAGTTTCGTTTCAATTTCGCTGCTTTTCTGCAGTTACCCGACGTCAAATGTTGCGTTACGCGATCGAGCGAGCGAAATATTCACAACCGCGAGCGAATGTTGCTAGCCGCGGGAAACAACATGTAAAGCCCGACCGCAGCGGGCTGCTTCGTTGGAGATTGCATCGCGCAACTTAGCTCATCGGAACTAATCTA